GAAGTAGCTAAAGCATGTGCTATATAGTTCTCTGATCTAGGGACAAAAACAACTAAACAAGAATGTAAAGAATTAATTAAATTCCTGCAACCATCTATTGCGTAGCCAACATATGATCGATCGATACGAGCTGAAGTAGTTAGATATTGTTTGACCGTTAAACAGTCCGTGAGTAGTTCCAAACTTTCCTCACCACGATTCTTAAGCCAAGACAGAGCTTCCTTGCATACAAACGCTTCCGCCATAAGAGACGAGAAACAACTTGGAAGGTGAAGAAACATAGGCAGAGATATATTGTCCGTTTCCATCCAAAAGAACTGCACCTACCGAGGCCGTATTTGTGGCGTGTTGATAACTCGCATCCACATAGCACCTGCGAGTGAGCTGCCCCGGCGGATGAGGCGGTACATGGGGTACGGCAGATGTGGCTGTGGCTGCATTGGCGTGAAACGATGCGGCATGGCATTCGGTTACATGGTGCACAGCGCGCCATGCTTGCATCGTGATGGTGGCCATCCTTAGTGTTTTTTTCGGCATTGGTATGTAGGCGTCCCAAACCGCGTTGTTCCTTGCTCTCCAAATATGATATAAGATTGCAGCTGCATACACCAGACCATCAGTGTCTAAATTATCCAAAATCATATTAAACCAGTCATTAAAAATATTCGTCTGAACAACAGGGATTGGGAGGTTAGCTTGCCCCCATACTGCCTTGGCATAGTCACACGTGACCAGCGCATGCATGGTATCTTCATATATCATTCCGCACATAGCACAATTAGGCTCAATATCAACTCTCTTGTTGCGCAGATTCATAGTAGTGGGGAGAATGTCACTCAAGGCACTCCATAGAAAGGTTTTCCATTTTGGGGGGATTTTGAGTTTCCATAGCACTTGCCACTTATTAAAGGGGGTAATCGTATTATCATATCTGCCAACAATACACTTATATCCACTTTTCACAGAATATAATCCTCTTGAATCATCATGCCAATACCACGTGTCTTCATACTCCGGTGATACGGGAATTTTCATTATTCTGGATACATCTTCTGGTACAAAAATATCTGTTAAAATGGAAGTATCCCATGTCCCAGTATCCTGATCAATTAAACCAAACACTCGTGCATTAGCCAGTTGTGGTGGCATTTCTGTTTGGATCATTGGATCCTGCTCATCCTGCAGCCAGGGATGATCCCATATTCTTGTATCCTGGCCATGCCCTATCCTCCGCCGCACATCAGTACAAACCATGCTTTTTGCTGCCATAATACTTCGCCAACAAAAGCTTGGATTATTCCCAAGATATGCCTCTGAGAAAGTATCTTTTGGATAATACCTGGCCTTATAAACACGTGCCACTAGGGATTCTGGCTTTGTCAGTAAACGTCATGCCTGCTTCCCCAACATTGCTAAATTAAATGCTCTGAGTTCTTTAAAACCCAAACCCCCATATTTTTTAGGGATACATAATTTATCCCATGCCTTCCAATGTATCCCCTGATTAGTGCCTGAGTTCCACCAATACCTATTCATGGTTCGCTCAATAGAAGAAACAACATTCATAGGGAGTAAAAAAACACTCAATGAGAAGGTAGGCATAGATTGAGCCACACTTTTCAACAATATTTCCTTACCAGCCTGAGAGAGTAGCTTCTTATTCCATGAACCAATTCTCTGTTTAATCTTTTCCTCAATATACGAGAAAGCTGCCTTTCGATTTCTACCAATAAAAGACGGGAGTCCAAGATATTTACCAAAATTCGGGGCCTGCAACACCCCTAGCGCCTGCGCCACCATGTCCCTATTCTCCTCAGTAGTATTTTTGCTATAGCAAATACTAGATTTATGATAGTTTACTGCTTGTCCTGACAACTTCTCATATGCAGTTAGACATTCTTTTATCACCCCTGCTTCTTGCAAATTGGCCTTAAAAAATAACAAACTGTCATCCGCGAAAAATAGATGGGATATTGGGGGAGCTCCCCGAGCCACTCTACATCCATGGATGTTATTATTCAATTGTGCCTGTTGCAACATCATAGAGAGTCCCTCTGCACAGATAATAAATAGATACGGAGACAATGGGTCTCCCTGTCTCAAACCACGAGTAGGTATAACTGAATCAGTACGAGAGCCATTTATCAAAAACCTGTACGATACAATAGACACACATAACATAATTAAATCCACCCATTTTTTATCAAAACCCATGGCTACGAGCATCCCATGTAAGAAAGACCACTCCATACGGTCATATGCCTTTGCCATATCCAATTTTAGGGCAGCCCATCCAACAACACCACACTGTTTCCTGTGCAAATAATGGCCAACCTCCGATGCTATCAATATATTATCAGTTATAAGCCTATCGGGTATAAACGCACTCTGGGACTCCGATATAATCTCATCCATCAAGGGTTTCATTCTATTAGTCATAACCTTCGCCATTACCCTATATATCACATTGCTTAACGCAATTGGCCTGAGATCAGATACTCTTTTCGGGGTTTGTTTCTTCGGGATCAATACCACATCTGTTTCATTTAGAGTAGCTGGGAAGCTGCAATTATCCAAACAATTGACCATAAAAGATGAAATATCCCCCCTACCACATCCCAAAAATGTTGATAGAAGCCTGGATTCATTCCATCCGGGCCTGGTGCCTTATCAGGATACATAGAAAAAAGAGCAGCTTTCACCTCATCCATAGTGAAAGGCCGAATTAAGGACTCATTTTGTGCTGGAGTGACACGCGGTGTAATGCTGTTAAAGAAATTTTCCCCATTCTCCGGGTTTCCCGAGGCAAAAATATTTTGGAAGTACTGCAAAATAATCCCCCTCATGGGCTCACCTTCCACCCAATCCCCATTATCATTCATAAGCTTATCAACATTATTTTTCTTTCTACGATGAGAGGCATACCTGTGAAAGAACTTGGTATTGGCATCGGCACCCTTGAGCCAGTGTTGCTTAGCTCGTTGTCTCTAGAAGGCATCCTCCTGTGTCTCCGTTCGGCATAAACGTTCCTCCAAAGATCGGAATTCAGCTAACGAGGCGGGATCCGTTTTTCCTCTCAGACGCAGCTGCTCTTTTCGCAAACTCATAATTTGTTCCCCGAACATATGAAACCTGTCACCCCCCCACCGAGATAGCCGAGACCCACAGAACTCAATGCAATCCAGCAGTCCACGATCCTTTCCTTCTTCCCATGCTTTTTCCACAACACTCCGGCATCCCTCATCATACAACCACACATTCTCAAAACGGAAGCCCCTCTTACTAGCCCCACCCCTCCCTACGGAGTCATGGATGCTTAGAAAGAGAGCCGAATGATCAGACTTGCGAGTTAATAGATTAGATACTCTCGCTCCTGCAACAATCTCGCGCCACTCATCCGAGACCAAAACTTTATCCAAACGTTCCTCTATCCAGTCGGCCTTTCCTTTTCCCCTTTCCCATATAAACGGATACCCCTGCATAGCTATCTGGGATAGGCCACACTCCTCAATAGTTTCCCCAAAACCGCGTAGGAGACTATCAGGGTGTGGATTTCCTCCTCGTTTCTCATGCTGAAAAAGAAGATCATTAAAATCCCCAACTACCACCCAAGGCAGGTTAGACTTGGTAGCCAAAGACCATAACATTCCCCATGATTCCTCACGTCTGGGCCGCTGTGCCAACCCATAAAAACCAGTCATTCGCCATTTAGGGAAACCATGGATACTGACCTCAATATCCACATGATTATCATAATAGCTGAGTAGACTAGCTGTATTATTTCTCCGCCACAACAAAGCTATACCACCCTTCACACCATCACTATCCACACAGAAAAGACCATCAAAACCTAATTTGACACGTAAACGTTCAGCATGTGACCGATCAACCATAGTTTCCATCAAAAAAATAAATTCGGGTTTCTTACAGGACGCAAAGTCCAGAACTTCACGAACTGTCCATGGATTACCCAAGCCACGGCAGTTCCAGCTAAGGGTACTCATTGGGTCGGGCGGGTCTGGGAACCAGAACCCACCTGCTGCAAGTTTTTTGACTGCTCTGCCATGACAACATCCTCCCCCACAATCTCCCGCCCACCATCGTCTCTCATCTCACGGCGCCGCTTAGATACCGCCACCAGCTCCGCCTCCCTGGCTTTACCAGCTCGACTACCTTCCGCCGGCGCACAATTACCACCCGAAGCCACATCCGCCATCTGTCTCGCCACCATCTGCCGGCCGGTCGGCAATAACATTGTTAATCATAATTGTTTTAAGGTTTCACAGTCGTAGAATTGAACCAGGAGTTAACATTGTTAATAATTAGATATATAATAATTAGCATTCAAAAAAGATATATAATAATTAAATAATAAATATGTTTAGAAAAGTAGATATATTTTGTTAATTAAAAATAAAAAAGTTACCTAATAAAATACAAGTTATATTTTGCAAAAAAGACCCGGTTAATATTGATTTTATTTTTTAATAATTTGTCACCTCCTCATTTACCGCCGGTGGGTATAGCATCTATACACCAACGTGTATCAAATATTAATCCATTAAAAATGTCATGTAAGGAGGGGAAGATTATAAGGGCAGCCCAAAATGGGATTTTGGCACAATGTTTTAGGAAAGAAGGGTGAGTTGGAAGAGAGAGAAAGAGGAGAGAGATGGTTTTTTTTGCTCCCGCAAGCACTCCAAAATTATCAAAATGTGGGTCCCACAATTTGAATGAAGAGTTGTGCCTCACATGCCTGAGGTGCAACTCTCGCGCCCGGGCTGGTGCGTGCAATCGCGCCAGCCTGGGCGCGTAAATCACTTTATTTTTTTTTTCTTTTACAGCTTTTGATTTTAATTTCGTTTTTTTTTTTTTTTTTCCTCTCATTCTATTTTCTCTTTCTTAATCACACTTAAACTCCTCAAAATTCCCACTATTGAGGATGCCCTAAGAGAAGACCAAGCTAATGCAGCTACGTTGAAGTTAAAGAAAATTCACTATTAATATTATATTGTTGATCAGATCAAAATATTTGTTCAATTCTTAAATCCATCTAGCAAGTAGCAGGCCTTAAATCCAGCAGATTATATTGTTCATTCCTAGAGGCAGATACAAGACAGACAGTAATATAGTAATGTATACCCTATTCTAATTTGCAGCTGAAGAACCTGTTAAGCAAAAACCATTTCAAACACCAAGATTGCAAAACAGCCACAACAACCATCTGCATGCTCTTCCCACACCCTTCTTTTATTCTACTCCTCATCTTCATCAAGCTCGCCTCCATCGGAGTCGTCTTCATCAAACTCGCCATCATCGGAGTCATCTTCATCAAACTCGCCTTCATCGGAGTCATCTTCATCAAACTCGCCTTCATCGGAGTCATCTTCATCAAGCTCGCCTCCATCGGAGTCATCTTCCTCAAACTCGCCTTCATCGGAGTCATCTCCAAAATCGACAGGTATACTGTCATGAATGAATGAAAACAAATTAGGATGTGATGAAACTAAATGAAGTTGGGAGAAAAATTAAAGGAACTGAGAGTGAAATAAAAAGCAATTGAGAAAAAGAAATGGAGATTGATCGAGAGACCTGTTCAAAATGACAACCATATTCTCCTTTCCATAGTCACGCTGATCAGCCTGAATTTTCTTGGCTGACATCACTATAGAAGTACTACACCAGTCTAATTGGATGAAGTTCAATGTTTGAATGTCTGCAAAGCTATTCGGGATCTCTCTCAATTCAAGGCATCTGTTAAGGAATAGGCGCTCAAGTTTTGGAAAACTATCAGCACCAACTTCCCAATGCATGAGATTACCACGCGAAATTTCCAAAGAAATTAAGTTGCTGAATTTCTCATTCTCTGGTACTTCCCACTTTTCGCCAAGGTTAGAAGCCCTGAACTTGAGCACCTCAAGCGTTTGTAACTTGCTCAAAACATTATTAATTACCTTCCACTCAGAATGCATAAAATCAAACCTCAGCTTTCTAATGTTTCTCAAGAGAAGAATATTGTTAACGATTGGAGCCATCATATCCTCAATTCCAAGCCAGAATATATAAACACGAATAGACAAACTCTCGAGCTGCTCTAAGCAGACAAGGTTCTTAGTGCTATCATCTATTCTGCTCATATGAATAGTTACCTTCTTCAGGTAAGGAACTATTGTTAAGAACTCTTGGTTGCAATGACTATCCGGAAAACGATTAATGGCCTGCAAGTTTTGATGAACAGAATTGGGAAAAGCTCCAGAAAATGCATCACAGTGAATATACTGTAGTTGTGGAAAATTCAAATGGTTCAATTTAATATCTTCATACGCACTATATGTTTGAAGATTCCAAGCGTTGGAGAATAATGAATCATAAGGACTCTGTCTACGTCTACCTGCCTTCAATATCCATAGGTATCTCAAATGGATATGAACAGTCGGACTTGGCGATTGGAATTCATCAGTAACATAGAGTACCCTCAATAGGTTGAAAAATTCCAAAATTATTGAATGTTTGCGCCACTCCGGAAAATAAAAGATAGACCAGCAGTGTTTTGACAGAGAATGTAATGCAGAGATGTCAAAATCTTCAAATGACACCCTTTCCATTCTTATCCAACGCACACCTTTCTCAGGGAAATTGGAACCACTTTCATATGCAACATGCAAAAGGCTCTGATTCTGACTTTCTTTTACACAAAAGGCATGCAATAAATCATGTACTCTAAACTCCTTAATTTTTCTTCCACAACTACTTCTTTTGCTTACAAGAATTAAGTTTCTATCCATAAGTTCATTTATGTACCTTTTAGCCACTTCAAAACTCTCATTGTTGAATGCTTTTACAAATCCTTCCGCAGCCCATAACCTTGCAAGATTGTTAGCATTGATCTTATAATCTTCTGGAAAAACTCCTAAATATAGAAAACAAGCTTTTAAATTATGGGGCAAGTGACTATAACTCAATGAGAGGATTCTCCAACATTCTCCATCATCTAGAGTTGATGTTGAAGAACTTATTAGAGCATTAGCAGTATTCTTCCACTCATCTAGGGTGTTGAGTTTTGAAAATAAACCTACTACCACAACAATTGCCAATGGCAATCCTTTACATTTCTCAACAATTGGTCTCCCAATTGTCTCAAATTCAACACCATGTGATTTGCATGCCTTTTTATGAAATAATTCCCAACTTTCACTTTGATCTAATAAGTGCATTTGATGGGAGAAGTAACTTTTAGAGCCAATACAAGTAGCCACCTCTGCAATGCGAGTAGTCAACAATACTCGACTCCCATTTTTATCATCTGGAAAGCAAGAGTTAACATCATTCCATGACTCTTTGCTCCATACATCATCCATCACTACCAAGTACCTTTGACCCTTCAAACTTTGGTAGAGTCGTAATGCTAGGTCCCCATCACTGCTATTGTTTACATTAGAACCAAGAAGACCTAAGAGCATTTGCCTCTTATTGTGATGTTGTGATACAACAACCCATAGTCGTCTGTCAAAGTGGGAGACAGTTGATGGGTTTTCATAAACTTGTCTTGCTAATGTTGTCTTGCCAATTCCTCCCATACCTTGAATTGAGACAACTTCTCGTTGTTTAGATGAATGTTGTATTAGCATCTTCATTATAATGTCGAACTCATTGTTTTTCCCGACCATTATGTCCTCAGTGTGTGAAGCACGATTGGAGGAACCGGAACCGTCTGTCTTGACAAGTTCATCATCAGATTTTGAAACAACATCATCAACAAGTGTAGTCTCCCTTCCTTGCACAGCTATGACATGCTTGTACTCCATCATGACTTTCTCCAGCTCTTCTTTAATGGCATAAATGTCTTCTATTGCTTGTTGCAATACATGACTAAGTCTATGACAATGCTGGGTTTTCTTGGCTTCAGTGTCCCCTTGTCCCATTTCCTCGTCAGCTTCTTTATAGAGATCTACCACATGGAGCTCAATTTCATCTTCTACTCTGAAAGCTACATCTCTGAGCTTTGTTTCCAACTCTTTAATTGCTTCAACACCATCCATTCTGCTCTTGTCGAACAGTTGTATCAGAAAACCAAGCTTTCCATGGAGAGATTGGATGAGGTCTTTGTTAAAAGGGATGAGTTCCATTTGTTGTAGGATTGGACGAGGCTGGGGTTGCAAGAACTCCAGCTCTAATGTTGTGATAAGAGAATTTACAGCTACACAAGCCATTCTTTTTTCTCTCTCTCTATCTCTGTGTAGGTGTGAAGATTAACAGAAGCAAAAGATGAGTGATTGAGTGGAATTGGGTAATGCTACTGATCTGATCAGTACAATAATTCCTTGCCGACAGCGTTTTTTAACATTTAGCTTTCCAGCTCTAAAGTTTCCATTGTTGGTGCAATAATTCAAAAGTAGACATGGCCTACTGCTTATTTTATTTTATTTTATCAGTGCAGTATTATCTTCTAAATTTTTCAAAAAAATTTGTAAATTTCATACCCCCGTTTGATTTGTTGAAAATATTTGAAGAGGAATATAATTCAAATTTCATTGAAAATAAATTACAGGAAAAATTAATTACATTATTTGGTTGGTAAAAAATAAATTACTAAGAATATTAAAACTACTGTTTGGTTGGATTTGGAATTCTAAGAAATAATGAGTATAAAAATCAATATATCCCTTCACACTAACAAAAATAAGGGTAATAAGGATATTGTGGTCCACTTGACCCTTCAAGCCTCCGCTCAACAATCTCCCTAGCCACCGGGGCCTAGACTTGGCCCTTGATCGGTCTCTGCCCAACACTATCCTTGTCAATCGTTATGCGTTGGACCCGTGTCCAGCATGCTTGCTGGACACGGGTAACAGTGCCGTTAGGCACTGTTATCTCTTTTTTTTTTTTTTTTTTTTTTTTTTTTTAATTTCAGACTGCTTCGTTATAGGAGTATATGTTCATAATTTTATTACTATATGTTAATAACTGTACATTCATAACTCCATAACTGTACGTTCATAACTCTATAACTGTACATTCATAATTCCATAACTGTACATTCATAACTCCATAATTGTATATTCATAACTCCATAATTGTACATTCATAATTTTCGAAGCTCTATGTTCACAATTTTAGAGCTCTATGTTCATAATTTTATCACTATATGTTCATAATTTTATCACTATATGTTCATAATTGTAAGTTCATGATGTTAGAGCTCTTTGTTCATAATTCGATCAATAACTATACATTCATAATTCCATACTGTAGATTCATAATCTCATAACTGTAGATTCATAACTCCATAACTATAGATTCATAACTCTATAACTGTACATTCATAACTCCATAACTGTACATTCATAATCTTCGAAGCTCTATATTCACAATTTTAAAGCTCCATGGTCATAATTTTATCACTATATATGTTCATAATTGTAAGTTCATAATGTTAGAGCTCTGTGTTCATAATTTCATAATTGCATAACTGTACATTCATAACGGTATAACTGTACATTCATAACGGCATAACTGTACATTCATAATCCAAAAAAAAATAACGCCGTTAACTGCAAAACGCGCGCGGTTTTTTTTTTTTTTAACTAAATGACGCGTTTTTTTTGAAAAACGACGTCGTTTTGGGCCCGTGTCCACAGTTCTTTGTGGACACGGGTCCAGGGCATAATTTGCCCAATCCTTGTTGGGTTAATCACCAAATTCCTAGATACTTTCAATTGTATTAATCTGTCCGTGTTTGATGATAGGCTTCAGGAAAAGTAGTAGCAATGGTTGGAGATGGAATCAACGACTCTCCGGCCCTTGTAGCAGCTGATGTTGGAATGGCAATTGGCGCGGGGACTGATATAGCCATAGAGGCAGCTGACATTGTGATCATGAAAAACAACCTGGAAGATGTAATTACTGCCATACATCTTTCTAGGAAGACCTTCTCCCGCATTCGATTGAACTACTTTTGGGCTTTGGGTTACAATCTGCTTGGAATTCCCATTGCTGCTGGGGCACTCTTCCCATCCACCCGATTCCGCCTCCCTCCTTGGATTGCCGGTGCAGCAATGGCTGCCTCTTCAGTGAGTGTTGTTTGCAGTTCTCTTCTGTTGAAGAATTATAGGAGACCCAAGAAGTTAGATAGTCTAGAGATAGGTGGAATAACAGTTGAGTGATTGTTGGTTGTGGTGTGGTAAATCTCCTACTAAGTTCTTGTTTTCATTCCGTTGCAATCAGAACAGTTGACAATATGGATACTACTAAATTATAAGATGATAAGACAAGAATAGTTTGATATATATATCTTCTGGTTGACAATATGAGGTTGATGTTTTTCAAGTTTATTAATTTTAAATATATTTATTGAATATAAATTTTGTGCTCATAAACAACTTTTTGCAACATCATATGCATATTTGCTCTATTAATTAAGAGGTTGGGAAGCAATTGTCCAATGATAGATGATAAATACTAATTATCTCCATCTATTTCTCAACAATGTTCTTGAGAGATAATCTATAATGTTTTCGGGAGAGTTTTTCTAGAAATTTAATTGACGGAAAAGCAACAAATACTCTCTCATTGTACTAGTAGGGGCAATCAAATACCTTTAAAGAGGCTAAAAGTCTTGTGCTCGAGCGGTATAGCTATGACTTCTCAGATGAGATGTCTCAGGTTCAAATTCTAGATTCTAGTGTGGGGGATTGAGTTAGTACCATTCAAAAAAAAATACCATTTGCTAGAAAATAATTGAATGTGTAATGTTTAAGAATTAAAACAGTAACTTTATTTTATATAGACGCCAAGTTGAAATACACTTCCAATATCATATACTAGAACTCAAGCGTATGGAAGAGACGAAGATCTTATGAAATGAATTTGTACGTTCTCACTGTACTGAATTTGTACGAAGTGGAAGGATTTTTTCCCCAAATTTATTTATAAAGACGCCAAGTTGAAATACACTTCCAATATCATATACTAGAACTCTATACATTACTGTTCTATATGATAACGACAACAAGAATCTGATATATGAGTCTCACAATGAAGGAACTACAATGGGAAGTGGTGTCAATATATATATATATATATATATATATATATATATATATATGTATATATATATGTATTTATGTATTTATGTATTTATTTATTTTTGGTATTTATATATTTATTTATTTTTTGTATTTATATATTTGCCTTCAACGTAAATTATATTGCTAAGTGTGCTCATGGTTCACCAGTAAACATACGAACTTTTTCAAAGTGTGATTTTTATTTCGCTAAGTGTGCTCATGGTTCACCAGCCCCGTACACACGTATAGTGTAAAATTGGAATGGCACTACTACCCACTCATTCTTATTTTGAGTATTACTATTACTATTTTCTTTAAATATTATTGTTATTATTACTGCAATAATTAATTATTATAATAATTACTGGGCACCAGCGAATCGGTGTAATGGATAGTAAGTAGGGATCACAAACGCATATACTCTAGTGCACACGTGTAGATCTAATCCGTATTAATATGAGCACGAGACGTATAAGTTATTTAGCTATGAGTGCACACATATTAACATCGGTGTGCACACGAAAAATGGGTACCATTCACGCAATCCAGAACAACAATTGCACAGGTAATTGAGGACGAGTGTACACATAGCATCACCAATACGCACACGCGCACCAAACGAATTAAGACACAAACATAAATGGATACCAAAATTGGTCTAATAGATAATAATTAGGGATCACACAGACATATGTGTGCACACATTAAAAATAGGTTGTGAAGTGTCGAGTTAAAGTATTAGTTTTTTTTTGTTTTTGTTTTTGTTTTTTTTTTTTTTTAGTACTCAAAAGTATTGGTTATTAATTTAATTAGAACGGAGATTACAGTTGGTGCTATGAGTTTTGATATATATAAATTGAGTAACGCATTTATTGTTTGCAAGTGCACACTGATATGAGAGCCTGTGCACATAGTGCCTAAAATGGTAGTATAATTAGTAATAAATAGTACGGTTAGAACTAGCGGGGTGCACATGGCCGTACACATATGCGCACACAGCTAAATGGATTTGGTAGATTAATATAGTAAATGCAACAAGTAACAAAATGAACTTAGGCAATAGGCAGTGTAAATGTGTAATTATGAACTTAACTACTTAGGCGGATGCTGAACTTTTATATATATATATATATATATATATATATATATATATATATATATATATATATATATATATATATATTCTAAACTACACATTACACTTCTACATAGATGACATTTGTAATTCTGTGGTTCAATAATGCAACAAAATGAGATGGTTTGTGCTGGTGTGCACACGGGGTCACGGGTATGCAAAACCCAAAAAAAAAAATCTTCAGCTTGACAGTAATAACAAGATTTCCTTCAACATTTTCAGAATTAACAAGCGACCAGTCCACATTCCTTGCAAATCCATGCTGTAAGCAATACAAACATCCTTGAGAGTCAAAATTAACACTGAGAAAGTGACCACAGTTTGGAACTATCGTAACTTCATTCATCAAAAACAATTGCAGTGGATTTACCTACTGAATTTGACCAGGTCCAAACTGCCAATGGGAAACTGTCAGTAACTTGGTATATTGGTGAATCTCACATCTCTAATTTCTCCTAGAATTCAAGCCTAAGAAACAGAAAATCCCAGAGATCCTTTAGCAATAACAAGTCATTTGTAATTGCGTGGTTCAATATCATATGAATTAGAAAACTCATCCAAAAAAAAAAAAAAAATGGAAACACAGAACTTGCCATCGACCACCGCCCAAAGGCGAGGTCGGCTGCCCCAATCCCACCGTCGACTACCGTAAGCCACCCCCACCAACAACACAGAACTCGCCGGGAAACACACATGCATAATCACCCGATCCCCCAACAAGCGAGCAACAACCCAACAAAATAGATGCTAAAACGAGCAAAAAAATCGCAAAAGGAGAAAAGAGGGCAAAAATACCTCGACCTAAATCCTCAGATGGTGGTCCACGTTGCTTGGCTCCACCGCGATCCCCACCAGCGACCATCGTCCGACTGCTAAGGAAGACGGCGATCGATGGCGTTAGAGGAAAGCGTTGGCAGAGAGACGGAAATGATAGAGAGAGAGAGACCGAGAAACACACGAAATTCTAAACGTGATTGTAATTGTGTAGGAATTAATCTGGTTACACAAGATGAAAAATCCAAAAATACCCCCCTAAAATAAAACAGCTAACCGCATCATTAAAAACACCATAAATAATTAAACAAATCCTAGACATCCAATCCCAAGATCCAACGAACCTAACGACTCCACATGTTTGTATTTTAAGCCCAGTTTGTATTTGAATATAATCCGGTTCTGGATCAGGTGAGGACTTATCCTTAGGTGAGGAAGTGAGGACTAATCAAGATCATCCATTTTGAGTGATCTAAAGGCTACGACAAAACAAAAACGCGCTACCCAAAAAAAGTGGGATGGATGCACAACAGTCACACTATAAATGCACAACAAACTAACACAGAATGCACAACAAACTGTGAATGAATGCACAACAAACTGAGTACGAATGCACAACAAAATTAGTACAAAAAATTAAATTCATTGCATATAATTAAATCACAGCCGTTGGTTTAATTAAATGAAAGGATCATATTATTCCTCACGTCCTCACCTAAGGATAGGTCCTCACCTGATCCGGAATATATATATATATATATATATATATATATATATATATATATATATATATATATATATATATATATATATATAGAAAGAGCTGATATGTGGTCATGTCATTAGCTGTGTGGTCGTATCTGTGTCGTTGACTCAATTTAATCTAACGGCAGTGGCTAATATTGAGGATTTGACGATTTTAGCGCGTTTTGGTAAGTGGGGGTGTTATGGTAATTACAGTGGCCATTTATAGCATCCGAGTTCCAGAAATACATCAACAGTGTTGACAACATGCACCAATAGTGTAATAAAATACACCACAGTGAAACACACCAATAGTGTATTCCCGAACACTGTATGGTGTATTTATTCATATCTATTGGTACGTTTTTGGTGATGCATACCTAATTTGTGTTTGTTTTTTGCTGTGCATTTCTTAACATGGATGGTGTATATTTGTATAACAATTGGTGCGGCCGCACTGACCACACGGGAAGGCGTTGCCGCACTTGAACTTGGCCTCAATGGGAATCTACAAATACACCAGAGTAAGGCTAATAATGCATCAATTACACAATAAAACACACAACAATGTGATTTTCCCTATTCCGGTTCCCTAAGACGAGTTTACCTTTGCAGTTCGCTGGGTAGGAGAACGTGCGTGAAAATACTAGAAGAATCTTGATTAATGTGATTCATTAGATCAACTAATCTAATGGCGTGTAAGTGACCATATGACCACACCTAACAACATAGCTGCACTTGATCTCCTCTCTCTCTCTCTCTCTCTCTCTCTCTCTATATATATATATATATATATATATATATATATATATATATATATATATATATATATATATATATATGTATATATATATATATATATATATATATATTTATTTATTTATTTATTATTATTGTAAGTATTTTAAATATACTTTTATTATTATACTTTTCTAAAAATTTTTTTAATACTTTTTATGTTAAAAATTGAGTTATACAATGACTACAAATTTTAATTGTTTACCATGAAGTCTTCACTAATTTGTACTTAAATTTTTACATGCCTTACTTTTCATAGCATTTTTGGTTTCATTGATTTCTGACTAACAACTTCTTTTAGTTTCACATATTCTTTTATCTTTACATGTAAACTTTCATAATCAATATCGTTTACAGAATATTCTTCATGTTAATGCTAAAATTACTTAAGTTATCACTGTATAAGTCTTATCCGTGCATCGCACGGGACAATTACTAGTTTATCTAACATTCACTACAAGAAAATTGTTCATTAGTGAGAGGTAAAACCGTCACTAAAAAATCAAAACCCATCATAAAAGATTTTTAATGACGGGAAATTTACCGTCGCACCCATTGTTATTTCTTCCACGGTTATGTTGGGTAATATGGTTGGAAATTTCCAAAAATAATAATCCTACGAAAAGATTAATATTCTATGGGAAAC